CCGCCTCTCTCCCACAAGACACTTCCTTTTATCCATCTGTTCTTCAACAGCAAAATCAATTACCACCCAATATCAACACTACCGTTGCTCCGACAATGACATTGCCAACGTCCACACAGTAAGGAACTTTTAAAAATAAATAGAAGATATAATTTTCACTTTAATAAAGTATACTATTAAGCATATTAGTTAAATAAAATCGAATCTTTTGTCTGTTCTAAACTGTGAGAGACAAGACAAAATGAGCTAGTAAGACTAAGAATGGTATTTATAATTACTTCTTAGGACGGAATCCATAGACGTTGCTCAAGATTCAAGATGGTCTTAAGCTAGTGCATAAACTAATCAGAGAGCCGTATTAGCATCTTAAGATGTTGCTTGAGATTAAGACTATGGATTCCATTCTTAGTGAACGTTTTTTTATTTATATGTATGCATATAAATAAAATATACAAATATATATTAATATACATTTGAATGTATATACATATATATATGTACATAAACTTATTGTTCACCAAAGAAAGATTATAAATGCCTTCCTAAGTTTTATTTCTTTCCATAAATATGGAGAATGTGATGTGCATAATACATTTTTAATATGTACTAAAGAGAATAATAATGTAATGTTGTATATAAATAAAATAATCGCAAAATCCTAATTATACTATATTGCATCTAATTATATTATATTGCATAAAAAATTGTCATATTAATTTTCTGTGTATTATCTATAATTTTAATTAAACAATTAATACATGTATTAATTAATTACAATATATACACTTCTATATCCAGAACATTTTGTTTTAAGGACTGCAAAACTATGAGTTTAGTCTTTCTCCAAATTGATAAAGAATTTCAATCTACACAAAAGCAGTGTTTATTACATGTTATCTTAAATTAATATAACAAGTACTGGATGGATATAGATAGGCAGTAATAACACTCAAAAGTTTAATTGTTCTCAGTGTTGTCAAAACACTTTAAATAATAATCTCTGTATCACCTAGCTCTTCGTCAGTCGGCAGTATTATCTTTGAAGGATCAATATAATTGGGACTAATGGGAGGAAGTCCATGCTCCTCTCTATAACGGAGTTGCAGGTAAGCTTCTCGTTGTGCCCAGTCCTTGCCTCTGACATCAGGTAAATAGGCCATGACAGTGCATCCAATTACAAGGACTATGGTTACACAGACAAACATGGTCTGGTGCAGGGCATGAGTATCTTCCACTTCGCTCTTTTGACTGAAGCCGTAACTCACCCACTTCCTCTTGATAGACTTTGTTTCTTCCTTGGGCTCATCGTGACGGCTCGGTGTCGTCGCTATTCTACGATATATCGTTGTCTCCTTGGACGACATTAGAGTTAAGCCTCGGCGCAAACTCTGCATACAATTCATGCGGAATAACGCTGCCATCATTCAGCAAGTACTTTTGCGTTCTTCTGCTGTGCGATGATTGCCACGAGGAATTCCGTGAGTCTCAGTGTGGATCACGTTATATAAGTATCGGAGTGAACTGCGTGTACTGAATTGTACTGAATCCAGAGAGAAGGAAATTAGATAATATTCTTTCAAATATATTTGTGTAACTATACACTCGTCAACTAAAAGGTGGCAACATTTTCTTTTCGATGGGTTTCGGAATACAGTGCTCACCGAACGATATCCCGGATCTACAATAAAGTTCTAAGCCTTAAGTCATAAGAAATCGACGAATCTTAAGGTCCGTCTACAATACACGTAATGAGCTTGGTTTAAGAAGTAATGGCTGCGTTCAGCAGACTCAATAGTTTTGCAACCGTTTTATGATTCGCGCTGATTGGATTATACTTTTAGATTTAAAGGAATAGTCCTATCTCAGCGCAGAATCATAAAACGGTTGCAAAACTGTTGAGTCTGCTGAACGCAACCTTTGACGAATATCAAGCGTTAATTTTGATCATATGATTATGATTTTGACGCTGAAAATGAGCGTTGAGTGTCAGCATGAAAAGGTACCTATACGCAACTTTTTAAAACAAGCGTAACGGAAAGCGCGGATCGCCTCTGATTGGTTACATGATACGCGTTACGCGAAAAATATCAATCATGTAACCGCACCCTAAAGCCTGATTTATAATGGCCGTAACCGTTAACTTATGCCGAAGCCGGTAAAGTTCAACCATAGGATTTCAACGCTTTCGTTCATACTAATACGGCAAGTTAGTATGAACGAAAGCATTAAAATCCTATGGTTGAACTTTACCGGCACCGGCATAAGTCAACGGTTATGGCCATTATAAATCAGGCTTAAGGATAAGATGATACACGGGGGCACCCGGGTGAGGTTTCCGAACGCAACCCTAGATGAAAGTAGATTCAAATAATTTTAGAACGTTATGTGACACGAGACGTTATGAAGTAAGACGGTGCAGACCATTGCAAGGGTGATATTTCGTTTGTACGTTTTTGTCGTACGACAAATTTTTTCAAGCCTGTGATTGACTGCAAGACAGAGAGATCCGAGGACCTCTCTGTCCTGTACACTTTGCTGTACGACGAAAACGCACAAATGAAATAGCACCTCAAGACATCGCATTTCGCAATCGTCGTATTTTGATAAAATAGGAGTTAAAAAGATTTTGTAGTTTTTTTTTAAGTTACAGACAATTGCAGAAAACGTGAAAAAGGAGACTGAAAGAAAAAGATAACGTAAGTGAATCATACTTACATTTATTTCTCGAAGATATTTAGAAGTTTGAGACTGAAGGCAATTTCTTTTTAAATAAATTGCGCAAATATATTGAAATCGATAAAGAAAATATAGATGGTGTTTCTCGCGTTACTTTTATTATCTGTATATATTGATTATTTCGTAATCTTTTTTTCCTAAAATCAATCGATTTGTAAGCAGCTGATTGCTCATTATGGATGTGTCCATCGCAAAAATTCACCATACTTTATTGGATGCCGCATTACCATCGACTATTAAAGATCTTAAAAATCCAACGGAGGATTATGTTGTGAATTTGTTAACAACATTCTTAACACGTTTCGGCATCAATATGAGCTTGATTGATCAGGTAGGATTTCAAATTTGTTACATGTGTCAGTCGTTACTATACAGTATAAGTGTAATTGAATTGTGTGGAATTGTAACAAGATATTGATTTTTATTTTTATATATCTTTCTTATTAATATATTTTACAACAAAAATTTGCAGCCAATTCCAGAACAACTTGGAGCTATGATGTATTATGAAGATTCTGATGTTATAAATCTTATAAATTTATATGTAGTTGTGGCACAGATATCCAATAAGATATTTCTACATGATTTTTGTCTTACCGATATTACTAGTCCAGGTACAAATATCTTAATTTAGAATCTTTTATAAGCAATGACTGTACTATATTAATAGTACATTATTGCCAAGGATGGGAACTGTTATTTTGTTGTTATTATTACTTTCTACAATAATGGATTCGGCAATAATGTTGCAGTTTGTTTATGGCGGTAACGATAGTCAACTAAAAGTTAAGATTAAGAAAGTCATTTTTGAAAAGTAACTTGTCTTTATTATGTGTTATTTATTTGAAGAAATAACTCATTTGTAATGCATTGACTTGCTATTTTAACTCGTTACAAGTAATGTGCTACTTTTTTCAATAAACAACCTGTAATAATGACAATTTTTCAAAAATAACTTCTTTCTAACTTTAGCTTTTAGTTCATAAGTACTATCATAAAAAATTGAAATGTCATTATAAAATCATTATCATAAAAAAATAATGATAAAAGTAATGCCGTTGCTCATTATCAATCCCTGAATATTGCTCATGTTACAAAAACGAATTTTGTAGGACAAAAGCGACTAAGAAAGCAAGCAAAATTTTTATCTAACTTTGTATTGTATACAATGCATAAGCAGTCAGGATATAATGACAGAATGGATGAAATTCAGACTATATCTAAACTACTAGAAGATCTGAAGGAAAGAAAGACTCATGTTTCAGAATCTATTAATAATAAAGTTATGCATAAAGCAAAGCAATTATCCATGATAGAAAAGGTTAAAACATAGATAGTTATGAAGTATATATTAGATTTTAATTGATTTCTCAAGTCTGCAATAAAAATATTGAACATATTTTTAGTTAGAAAATGACATAGAACATATGCAGTCAATAACGGAGAAACTCAATAAGCAGGAGATGGAATTTGAAATAAGGAAAAACAATGTTGATAAAGAAAATCAGAAAGCTAAGGAACTTTGTGGTTCTGTTAAGACGACAGCGGGAAAGGTAAATATTTTTATTTGAATCTTGAGTTTTTAAAATAATTGTAACACTTCCCTGGCAGAAAAATTTTACGAAAAAGTACGTAGATTGACACCTTAGAAATAAGATCTTAGAAATTCTTAATTTTTCATAGATATTTGTAGTGGGATGTGTAAAGTGGCGTTGTTTATTCGAAAACCAAGTAATTCTTCACCCTAAAATAACGATATTGTATGTTTCACTACGAATATCTACGAAAAACTAAGAATTTCTAAAATCTTGTCTCAATCTATGTAATTTTTCTGTAATTTTTTCTTAACATTTTTTTCGCCAGGATTTCATATTTCCATATAATAAGATTAATAAATTTCATAATGCACACTATAATTTTCAGCTGTCCAAGATGATAACTGAAATACAGTCAGAAGTTGTACATTCACCAAAAGAGTATCGATCCCGTTTAGACGAAATTGAAAAGCAACATAAGTTAAAAGAAGAAGAACGTAGTACAATGCAAGAAGCTATTCAGGAAAAGAAACAGTCTATAAAACTAATTGGGGAAAAGTTAAATTTTGTTCAAAAAACAAGTGATGACTTTCGTATGTTAGCAGATACATATAAAGAGCAAAAGTATTTTTTCATTTATATTCTAAATTTTATATTTCCAAACAATTACTCTAATGAGGTATATATTATATTTTTCTAATAATTTCTAATATAGAAACAAGAAAACAAAAAGAAATAATGTTATAAAAGAAATTGATTCATTGAATAATATCTGGAGCGAATCAAAAACTAAATTAGCAATGCACAAAGATAAGATAGATATCGAAAAGAACGAATTACAAACATACAATGAGGAAGATATGGTTTTATTGTGCAATCTGTATAGCCAATTATTGAGGTAATATTATGTAAGTCTAAAATTAATTTTTTCTTTAATTAAAATATTTTTAAGATTAATTTTTGTTCATAATTTTTTAATTTTTTATACTTCGGTAAAAAAAATATTAAATTGAAATTCAATGATTTTTGTAGTGACAAAAAGATACAGAAAACTAAATTAGATAAAGCTCAAGATTGTTTGAATGAAAAATGTTTGGAAAAGAATAAATTACAAACAGACATTAAAAAAATAGAGGAAGAAACTAGAACTTTTATCAACAGTTGTCAAGAGAGTTATGATAATGAACTTGCTAATGTGAGTTACATTGGTGATTTTTATAGAAGTATTTACAATTACACATTATTAAATTATATTTTAAAGTATTATACTAACTATATACGACTTATTAAATTATAAATTAAATAATATATATATGTTTCTTATAATATAAACTACATTATATATAATCTATTTCAGGAATTTGAATTACGGAGAGCTTGGAAAGAATAATTATAAAAACAATTTGTATTGTTTTTGCTCTTACTTTCGATTACAATGTAAGATATATTAATATAAATTTTAGAGTAAATTTATGTATACAGCCCAGTAAACGCGATTATGTAACTGTTATATTGCTGTAATAAAACGGAATGTAACAGGTAATATAACGTGTTGATTACATGTAATGTATGTTAGTCGTAATTTCCCACTCACTGCAAATTACAGTTATATAAAACAAATATAACAATGTAATAAACATAACTGTTTATTACAGTTAAATGTTGAATATAACTGTTGCAGAAAAAATACAGAATAATTACATAACATGCTGAAATGTTATATAACTATAATATAAATAGTTATACATATTACCGTATAACTCTAATGTGGGGTCTACAATAGAAGTCGTAGTGGTCGTAGGGTCTTAAGTCGTAGGAAATTGACTAATCAGTCGAATATGAGAAGAATAATCAACTGTGATTGGTCAATTTTCTACGACTTAAGACTACGGCCGCTACGATTTCTATTGTAGACCCCGCATAAGGGTGCTATTACATGAGCGTGGAAACGCGAAAATGAGGAAACGCGTAACCAATCAGAAGCGATTCGCTGTTATGGTTTCACGTTTTACCGATTATTGATTGGTTGCGCGTTTCCGTGTTTCCGCTCATGTAATGGCACCCTTAGGCCACCATGATATAGTGACTTTATGCCCAGTGAATCGAATTCACAAAATCGACTTTTGCGATTCGATTCTTAAGTGCGAAAAAGGATCGATTCTCGATGTATTGAATTAGATTATTTGGCATCACTGTATCTTGTGTGTACATACGGTTTATAGTGTACGGTGGCTCCCGCACGAACGAACCAACGAACGAGGAAAACTGTCGAATATCGTTGTCGGGATTGCCGTTGCTTGTCGAGAATTCGTCATTAATGTCTTATTGAGACATTCGGCGAAACTAGGCATTTAATCGAATCTAAGGACGCAGCGCAGCTCAGTCGAGTGAGTAACCTTCGAGGTCATTTTCGCTGCAGCCGCAACCACAGTCATCGCTAAGGGTGATCCGCGCGCGAACTCGCGTTGATAACCACAAATCGGAGTGTGTTAAATCGATCGGTGAATTCGTCGGGGGGACTCGGCGGTAATTGATCGTGAGGTTGTGAGTGAGTAGCGATTTGCGGAAAGTCGACGGGACGGTGATCCATCGACCCGATCGTATTTCTCCGCCAATCGACATTAGAACTCGTTGCGCGAAATAAATATGGAGGCGGTATGTAGGAGTGTGTGTAGATATGTATGCATGTGTGTAGGTACGTGCGTACGTGTGCGTATGTTTGACGCTTTGACGGTGAAAAAACAAAACTTTACTTACCATGTGCAATGACATCCTATATTTAGCTTATAATAAGAAGTAATGAGTAACTGATAGATCATATATATACAATATATGTACACACGCTATATAACACACACACACACACACACACACACACACACACACACACACACACACACACACACCAAAATTATATACACATGTATATACATATTCTCTCTCTCTCTCTCTCTCTCTCTCTCTCTCTCTCTCTCTCATTCTTGGTTTAGTTAAATTATTTCTGTTAAATCATAGTTACATTATGTAATAGTTTTTTATGTTATTACTTAGGTATGAGACGTAAGAGTGAAAGAAACAAAACAAAGGGATCTCCAGAGAAGAAAATTGAGAAACCAACAAGGAAATCAACGCGTAGGCGTGGCAAGAGATCGCCTTCTACTTCATCTGAGCAAGACCCTCTTATCGAGGATGCGGCTAAAAGTGCCACTCAACTCCAGGAGATTGAAAAAGAGACAAGTGTGCAAACACGTCTGCAGAGCAAGGAAGTGGAGCAAGTTCCACACAAGCATGAGGAGAAGGTCTCTTCTAGTGATGTAAACATAAAGGTGGATTCACCCGAAGATGAGGACAATGGCGGTTCGGTGTGGAAAGTAGCTAGAGCAGATGCATCACCTGGTGAGATACAAAAGCTGAAATTATGCAGGCAGCGCAACACGTCAGAACCATCATCAGATACACCACCATTGAATAGGAAAAATGTCAAGTCAAGTAGCAAGTGGCAAGAAAGTGGTGAGGGAGTTGCAGAGGAGGCTGACTCGGCGGATGAGCAACTGGTTTCTTGTACAAGAACGCTCAGTAGCACTGAACAGCCGAACGATCCCTCCTCTTCATACCCAGGTCAGGACTCCAACGAAGAGGTAAGTGATAGCAAGGAGATCCTGCCTGAAACCACTTCAGCCAACTTGTTGTCTGACGATAAACCAAACATAGATCAGCATGGTGAATCAAATGAGGCAAATTGCACTGCCCAAGTAGTTGATATCGAACCTGGTAAGCCGGGTAGCATGACACCATCTCCAGTGCCGGCTCCTAGCGCGAACGGTGAGGAGACTGTCACCACTATCATCGTTAAGGAAGATAAACCTGTGGAAGACATCAGTGAAAAGCCAACGGAGACATTTGTCAAAGAGACTAGCGTGGAAAATGTTCGTAGAGATATGAATAGCGAAGATGAGGGGGAGGAGGAGGAGGAAGAGGAGGATAAAGCAAAAATGCATCGTCCGGTAGATTCGTCATCTGATTCAAATGACGAATCACGCTCTAAAAGAAGCAGAACAAGTAGTGATCGAACGTCGCCACGTGCGACTCGTAGAAAACATCGAAACAAATATAGAGATTCGTCTAATTCAGATACACCTGATTCTGAAGATGAACCTATTGACAGAAAGATCTCTGAATCTTATGTGGAGGAGGAAGAGGAGGAGCAAGAGAGAAAACCGAATACAGAATATTTACAAGAGAATGATAAACAGCAATCAATGTCGCCGGAAAGAACAAATTCTCATTCAAATAATGTAGAAAAAATAGAGATGGAACATAGTAAAACTGTTGAAGATAAATTGGATAAAGATACAACTGAAAAATTGGAACAATCTACACCGGCTATCACACAGGTGGTCGCTCACAAGCCTGTTAAAGTCAACTTGAAAAGATCATTGTAAGCATATATGTTCTTGTGGAATGTGTATCTTTTCTCGATAAAGTTTTATTTGTAAAAGAAATATAATAAATACGATATTGAAGGTTTTTAATGTACTATATTTGCAGAGTGACTCAGTTATTTTAAAATGTATAGTGAAGCAAAATATTAAGATCGAACTATAATTATGCTTTTATATTTTCAGCTCAACAAGAATATTATTTGAAAAGAATGAAATGAAAAGAGACGATGCTGATGCAAGCATCAATGAGTCCAGTAGTCAAAATAAGGTATAGTAATATATAATATTCTCTGCCAGAGTTAGAAGCATATTTATATTCTTTCATTTAGCATTATATTCGAATAATGTATATTTCAGGAAAACGGCAATGAACAAGAACCAAAATGTGTGCCGAGGAAACGTCGATGGGGGACCGCGCTTTCTACGGATACCGCGCC